GTTGGCTAAAACCTTTTCCTTACGAGTAAAATGGTTGATTACTGCGGTAATTTAACCCGGTTTTTGTAGCATAAAGCGGCTCTAATCTTCGCATTGTGCTTCTTATTATTGAATCTATTTATATTTTGTTGCGAAAACTGTTGATGTTAACTTTTTTCGCTTGTTTGTTCGTAGAAGAAGAAAGAAGCCGCAAAATATCAGGAAATGGTTGGTTCAAGGCTCGCTGGAATTCAACGAAGTATTAGCTGCGACGGCGCACACTTTCCTAAGGCCAGCAGAGATATCTCAGAAGGCTGTAAAACAACATCTTGTGAACTGGTTCTTTTGGAGTCTGGGAAAGAGGAGCGTGCGAGCACAGGCTCCGAGTCCTCCCAAGAAAAAGTGCCGTTGTGGGAGCCTTGTCGACATGGTCACCATTGCCATCCGCGCGACAGTGTTCAAGAGCGAAGCAAACACAGTTTTAGCGACTCGCAACTTATAGCTGCATTGCAAGGCAAGTCGTGCATCCATCCCAACATTTACAGCAATAACTTCTCTGCCAGTGGTACTGACAGCGAAAACCAAACCCATCACAATGTCAATCAAATTCGCTCACACCAAGGTGATCAGTACTCGTACCAGGTCCCCACGGAATCGAATACCATCGCCACAGAAACGACGAGCGATGCTGGAGACGGCGGTTACGATGAGGAGAATGGACACGATCATCACCATCATCATCACCACCACAGCCCTAACATTGACAAGAACACCTCCATTGCCACTGTAGCGTGGATGGTTATTGTCGGGGATGGTTTCCACAACTTCAGCGACGGTCTGGCAGTTGGTACTGCGTTTTCAGTTTCATTGACCAACGGTCTTACCACAGCTATAGCAGTGTTTTGCCACGAGCTTCCGCATGAGTTAGGTTAGTTGTTGGGTATTGTTGTGTTCTTTTGGTGTCGTGGGGGCTACAAGGTTTCATCCCTGATACCAACAAGAAGAGACATTGTCCATACTCAAGGTTATCTTCCCAGCCCTCTCTCAAAACTTAAGTTTGAGGTATGTTAATCTGTGGAAGGACTTGTTCAGCTCAGAATTTTCGTCACGGATCTCGGCTTTCTGTTCTCCCCTGTTTTCTGCTGCATAAGGAAGTTTAGTTAATATTCTAGTTACTGTCTCTCCAGTTTTTAGATGTTGTTTCAAACCAGAAATCTCGAACCAAAAAGCCTGAGCGCTCAGAGGTGGCTTAGAAAACAAAATTTTGTCTTTTCAATCACTGAGATAATGAGCGAATTCGATGTATTATGAAGCTGTCTCGAGTTACATTGTGATATCAATTTTGACTTACTTCTCTTTCATTTCAGGTGATTTTGCCATTTTGCTTAAGTCAGGTTTGACCTTTAGGCAAGCCCTGGCTTACAACCTTGCATCAGCCATAATCTCATATATTGGCCTTATACTAGGCATAATTATTGGCGATCTAGATTCTGCTCACACCTGGGTGCTGGCGCTCACAGCTGGGATGTTTCTTTATATATCATTGGTTGACATGGTAAGATACATAACACCCATAATAGAATTAAGTGTAATATTCATGTCGTAACTCCAGTTGAATTGTAAGACGTGAGCTCAGCTTTAAAAGGTGGCAATAACAAAGTCGATAAAAGGGCGCTTTTCCTAAGATGTGGAATTGTTAAGTTGTAAACTTAAAATTTTCCACAATTTTGATTGTGGATTGAAAAGAAACAGAGCTTGTTTAGTATTACAAATGGGGGAAGGGGGTATGCAGCTTTAAGCGGTGTGAGCCTGCAATCGTTTCTGGTTGACTTGTAACTTTTCCATATAGTATCTTTACATCATCAAGCAAACAGGTAATGGAAAACTCAAACTTATCGGGTTTAGGTTGTTGTCTTGATTTAACACCAAATTGTCGTAACCAATTCACCAGAAAATGAATGGCAACTAGAGGGGGGAATTAACACTCAGATCGTGGGATTTAAATGTTTAAATGCTGATAGTTTCTCTCATGAAGAAGACCTGTTATAAGAAATTGACAGTAAATTATCAAATCGAAAGTGGTTTAGCGTAGTCTGTACTCTCATCGACAACGATATTCGTCATCACAGTGGTCAAAATGTTGTGGACTCGCGAGGCGCAGCACAATATCGACGTCAAATTAAACAATTCTTTCACTGCGTGACACGTTGCGTGACACTTCGACGCAATAAGTGTTGTTGTACTCATATCTTAATTGGCCAATTAGATCGCGACATTACTGTTGATTGTGGTAAAATAATGACTCGAAAAGGGACAAAAGGTGTAGTTTCAATTTGCTCAACGGTGGTTCTCTCTTTCCTTCCACAGCTCCCTGAACTGAGCAACTACATCAACGAAGGAGGTGGATGGCCTGTGGTGATCTCACAAAATCTGGGAATATTGACGGGAGTATCGATTATGCTAGCAATAGCTTTGTATGAGAGTTAAATAACTTAAATTATAATTTAGAACTACGAAATATTTGTAGTTAGTTATAATGCAAAAGCATACAGGCGCTCAAAGTTTGATTTAATCTGAAACAAAATATATTTATTTAACCACAGACATTTACGAATTTAAATATATTCACTTCACTTATAATTTTTATGAGATTTTTGTTTTAAAAATGTGGAGCTTGTATGGATTACAGACGAATTCACAAAGAAATCAAAACAAGTGGAGTTTGTTTTAAATGAAAATGCAAAGGAATGATATAGGTCTATTTTGGATAACTCCCGTTTTTTAATGCAATTCTGGTTGTGAGGTATTTTGGTAAGGTATCTCAACTATGATATTGCCAAATATGAATCTTAAATTCTTACCAGAAACAATCTTGATAAGATGTATTCAAATCGTAAGAAATTCTTCAGTTTTTTTCGTTTTTTGCACCCTCCATTTTACGCTTTAAAATCATCAATTTGGTGCATATCAACTAAAACATTTTGAGTTTAAGCTTTGTTTTGTTTTTTTTTTTTTTTGCCTCTAGGAGGAATTCATTAAACACCCCTCTTTATAAACATTCTGTGCCACAGAATTGCATTTTACGAATCGTGATATAGAATTGTATTTATCCCTAAGGACGTGATGTACGAGGCCATTTGAAAATAATGAAGGATGTCAAAAATGTCCGGGATGTCAAAATTCAAATAAGATGTAGAGGTTTCATTATTTGGCGTCCAAAACAATTTGTGGTTACGAAACAATGCGCGATTAGTATGCTAGAATTCAATCAGTTTGAGAGACACACACCAAGCTTTTTTACTATTTGAGTGACCTTTTACCAATGTATGAATTAAGATGAGGTAATTTTACGAAACGACGCCGCATATGACGCAAAGTCGTCGCCATAGGTTTCGGTTATTTTCAGTGCTCAGTTCTTCAAGGAAAACACTACGTAACATTGCTTCGAACATGTGAGCCCCCGACATTCCAGCGGTTAGGGCTAGGGTTAGGATTAAGGTTAAGAATATCTGGGGCTCACATAGTTTGAAGCAATATTATCGAGTACTTTCCATTCTCTAACCTGCTTTTGTAGTCTCTCCTCTCTCTAACCCTCCAGGGTCAGATAGGGTTCGAGGGAGGGAGAGACTCTAGGATCGAGGTTGTTGAATTTTCTTCTTTTTCTAGCAAGTAAAGCAAATTTCTTATGGGGTGAGGGCGGGGGGGTTTCCATGCCGGCCTACTCTTATCTGGTCGAATATTCAAGGAAACTCAAGTCACCTGACATATGTTGAGAAAAATAATTCAGGGAACGGTCTTAGATCCTGTAGAAAAATAGGTAGGGTTCCCTCCATTGGAATCAATCTTCCCCTTCACAATGTCAATATCTGAGCAACTGCGCACCTATCCCTCCCCCTAATCCAACCAAAGTCAACCCATAATAACTTGAGGTTAATTTTGTGTTAGGGGAGGAGTAGGTGTGTAGTTGCCCTGATCTGACTGTAACTCCACTTTTCCACTGTTTCTTTGTACATTAGTAGAAAGAATCTCCTTGAACTTCTCCATTACACTAGGATCTATATGTGAACCACTTCCAAGGTTTTTTAACTGTTTTACCAAAGCTAGCCATCTGTTTCTATCTATTTTAGTTATAATTGGTGGAGTACTGTGATAGCGTAGAACAATAACCTTAATCTCAATTAAGAGACTCAGTTCTTCATAAAGGTCTTATGTCAAGGGCGGGGTATGTTCCATCATGCTTGTGTAAGAATGATGAAACAAGATCAGTTTTTTTCTGTTAAAGGTAGTTAAAAGGGAAGAATCAGGGTAGAAAATTTTTATGGACTTGGGTATTTAATTTGTACTCTATTATGTTTGAAAAAAGGATCTATATCGCGAGTCCCATTGGGGCTTTTAGGGCTTAATGTTAAAATTTTGGCCATTTACGGCCACGGTTAACCCAAAATGACACATTGTAGGAAGGAAAAAATTTTACTGTTAACTTTTATTACAATTAACGGTTAAAATTTGTCAATTTTTACGCTTAACGGCTAATTGTAAACTCCATTAAGATCCACTGTTGTGGATATAGAAGGTTTGAACTCATCAAGGTACAAACGCGGGGCCAAAGTGGCTGGAACAGGTCACGCTTTTTTTTCACTATAGGGTGACAGGTTCCTCCACGTCGCAAGGGATAGCTTCCTAGTTAGGAAAAAAATCTTACGTAGATAGACAACCCTTTGTCACTAAAAAGTCCATGATAACTTTACTAACAGTTGTGAGTTTACGCATGATGTTAACGGCACCAGCAACTGCAAAACTGAACTCTGATTTTTCTTCACTTTCCCTCAAGTACTCCCAGAGAACTAATATCGAAATTGGAAAAAATATTTTTACCAGTATTCACAGAAGATACAAATATTTCGCTTTGGCTTTGAAACGGATGAAAGCAACAGACAACAAGTTTGGTCCGTTAATCGTTTTCAGTAGGTCGTCTGTCCTTTCACTCTCAGGGGTGATCTAAAAGAAATTTATCCTTTCAATGTCATAACCTTTAAAAGCACAAAGGAGATGAGAAGAAAGAGAGATGACCGGTGTATTACTTGGATATAAAACGAAATTCTTAAGAAATGTATGGAAAACTGTGAGGAAAAATGATGTTTAGTTTCTGCAAGTGAAACCGTTAACTCTCGTGCCTAGCCTCTTTAGCATTGTGAATCTCTTTAAAAGCCTTTGGCACTTTTTGAAACAAGATAATTCGGTAAATTAGTGTTTTTTTTGTTTTTTTTTTAGCTTTGTGCAGATTTAATGCTCAAACTTACATAACAGGCGCCTCGCTGTCAGGGGCTCGGAGTTGTGGAACGCATGCGTAGTCAGACTTCTTATTTGTGCGCGCTACTTTATTTCACCTGGTTGCAGCCGCATTTATATTAGCAAGTTAACAGCAAGTTATCTTCGAGAAGTTTCTGTGACGAGATGATGGCGAAGTGTGATATCTTTTTGCGAGAAGTATCCTTGTTAAAAAACGGACTTGTCAGTATTTAAACAGGGAAACCTGTCGGGGAGTAAAGGTTTATCAATGACGAAATTTGCTGTTGTAGATGCTTAGACAAGTGCTCATTTCTAGGAAGACATTGTGTAGGGGTGAAGAAAATTTTGTCTTGAAAGGGTTTCTTGATTAACTGTTTCTAACAAGTTCTCCTCTCATAGATAAAACGACGAACAATTTTTGCTGGTGCAGCCCTGGGAAAAGTTGCTTGGGAAATGCGCCTTGTATCTTAGCCCATGTTGTGCAGTGTAGGATTTGAGCTTAAGTTACGTAGTTTATTCATTAGTTTACCTAGTTGTTTACAATATTTTATCATACAATTTTGGGTTGTATGAACACGGGTGTGTAAAATTTCAAGATCACTGGGGTACTTTCTTTTTTATTGAATCAGAATTCGTAAGGTTTTAAAGAAATATGAAAATTATTTTAGGTACATGACTCCTACCAAGTGATTTTACTGTGTAATAACTGATGATATTTTAAATGAAGATAAAAAAATTATTCAAAAATTTTATAGATAAATGTTTAATATCCTTTAATGCAGACACCATTAGCTTTTCTAATGAACACGTCTCTATGAAAAAAAGGATATGTGTTGTTGATCTGAATAAAACTCAGTTTTGGGTAACATTTGGTGATCCACTGTTGATTTTTCGCAATGACACTGTTCATTGATGTATCACTGGACCTCAGACACACCTCTTCAGTACGAAAGTCTGATCAATTAATTTTGGGCCTTGACTGATGGGGGAGGTCTGTGTTATAAAAGACAGCAAACTTGCCTAGGTTTGCTCTTCACTGGTTATCCCATTCTCTAACAGAAGTGTCTCAGTGATGAAATTTGAGAACGAGGATCACAAGCGTAACAATAGTTGGGATTAACACGCCGGGATCTGGGATCGAGATCAGGGAAGCTCACAAGTACAGAATTGAAAACAAGCAAACAAACAAAATTGAAACAGACAAAAAAAAAAGATAAAAATGATAATGATGATGATGATGATAAAAGTAGGTAATCAAACACGAGATAATTATCTTAACAATGTTACCTTGCTAGTCACGTTGTTAATCGCGTCTGGCAATGAGGATTTGTCTCGCACTTAAATGAGTGTAACACTAAAATTGATTGTTAAACTTTAAACTTCGATTCTTGCGGAAACAACGAAAACCAAGAAATTTACTCATACAGAGGCTATTTACCTTGAGAAAATGTGTGTCGAAATGACATTTATGAATCCTTGATCTGTCTCCCCTTGAACCACGTAATTCGGCAAACATGAAGAAACACCATCCAGCCTTGAAAAAAAGACGATATCATTGGTAATACGGTTGAAATATCGAAGCTGACAAAGACATATTGGTTTACTGAACGAAAATATTACGTTTTCAAAATAAAACTGCTGAAAAAATTGAGCGACGGCAACTCCAACAATAATTTTTGTTTTTGCAACTTTGGATCAAGAGTTCTCGGCAGCTTGAACTCAGAGCCATTCCAGGCGTGCTCCTTCACCCAAACAACAGATTTGATAATATTGTTCATTCCTGAAAACAAATCATTGCAAATATTAATGAATAAATTAACAAATAAGCATGCAAAATAGGACGATAAAAAAAGCGTCAGCAAATGTATTCAACAAACAAGTAGTTGAACACAGACGGAAAAAAGTAATGAACACCATAAAGTTAGAAATTTCAATTAACCCCATACCAAGAATATAACTATAATTGTTACCTCTCATATTCTTACATCAATCTGGACAAAAAAAAGGACTATCGATTCTTTTTATAGAACAGAACAATTTGAGATACTGATATTAATTTTAGTTCTTTTAGTAACATTTTTTTGTAATATTTTCCGAACTAAATTTGAATTTTATTTCATTGAATCCTCTTACATATTGCGTAACTAAGCAGCAAGCATGGATGGTTTCCACTTTTGGAATATTAACTTGCCTTTGTGGTGTGATATCCTCCCTTGTCTCATGTGAGGCTCACACTGGGCTCACATGTTATCTCACATATACGGATATCTTTACCAAATATGGCGAACGTAAACACATGAGGCGCCAAAATTGGAACACAGCCCTCCCGGGTAATCAAAGCTAATTTAATTGATTCTGTTGGGAGCTCTGTGTCGCAAGGAAAATGGCCGGTGGCAACTTTATCAACCGGCGTTAGACAGGCCTAAGCAGATCTTGATTTCTGTCCTCGAGATGGAGAGCCGCAGAATGGAGCAGTCTTCCATAAGAAAGCCGTGGTTTCTACTTCCCCAAGCGAGTTGTGAAACGCCTCTTGTACAGGTAAGCTGCAGATTGTATGTTGCAGCGCTCGCTTCCCCGCTTTTGAACTTGACATAGTTCAACTAACCTCCAAAAACGCCCTTTCCGCTGATTTATATTCTGTTTTTGGTATTTAATTTAGGCATCCTTGAGGCCAGCCGATCCAACGGCACTGCGAGCGATCTTTAATAAGGTTTGTAAATTTACTAACTTTCGGTGGGAAACCCCGTTTATTTCGATCTCTATTATATACAATAACTTGTACATTCTTTGCTGCTGGTCAGGTAGTTTAGATATTCCATAAAAGGCTTTAAACGATACTTGTGGATTGCTTAAAAGGTTATTGAATGTCCAAAATCGGCCTAAATACCAAATTTGTAGTCCCCCGACTGAGTGATGTTTTTATTGTATTGCAAATCTGTGTTCAGTATGAAATGTATTCAACACTTTCGATTTTAACGGAGAGGTTTATAATATTTGATAAAGTGAAAGGCATTTAGAGAACTGTCTGTTTATATAGTTCAATTTCTATTACAGCTTTGTTTTAAGCTTCATCTCGATTAGAGATCCTAAGATGAAGGATAGGGTAAAGTTTCCGCACAGCCCCATACTAATGTAAAACAAATCTGTTTTCCCAACGGAAATGTATTGTTTTTGTCATTGTTTTCTCTGTTCAAGAACTGAATGCATAATGTAGGATGGGGCTGTGCGGAAATTTTACCCAAAAATGTCCCTTGCAGCAAGTATCTAGTTTCTAGGACTTTCTGTAAACTAATATCCTTCCGGCCTAAGGAAGAGATTGTCAATTAACCCAGGCCTATTATAATTTATACTATTACTTACAATATAACCACTGCATAAAAAGCATTTTGACTTGGAAATATAGATGTTTTTATACATCCCAGGCCTGGCAACCCTGTCTGCATAGTATGGTAGATGCCAAATATTTTTTTTCTTTCTTAACAAACATTTCCCTCAGAAGAATTGCCATGACACCTCCACTGCCATGACACTTCCTCCTGGCCCCCTGTTCCCATTCCCAAAAATTAATAAGCATCCATGGATCTTATCAGAGCATTTACAGCATTGTTCATACCTAATACTGTGGATTTTTAACTAATTATGTTCAAGAAAGGAGTTATGTATGGTTACTACACTGTATTTGTACACAAAACTGTGGAACAGGTCTTTTGCGAATGCTACAGTGACTTCAGTGTGAGTTGCTACTAATGCCATAACATTGCAAGACTAAAAAGCTCCATGGAGCTTATCTGAGCATTCAAAGTATTTTTCATTTTCTACTTCTTCACCTAATATGGTGGATTTTTTTAATGTGTCAAATAAAGGAGTTATGTATAGTTAACTACACTGTATTTGTACATAAAACTGTGCAACAGTTCTTCTGTGAATGCCACAGTGACTTCAGTGTGAGTTGTTTCTAAAGCTATGACATTGCAAGCCTTAAAACCTGCTTAGATCTATGATGAATTTGAAATATTACTCCCGATTGTTATCATTGAACACTTGCAGTATGCCACAGTGGAGCAGGATGATGAAAAGTTCATGACACCAGTGAATCTGATCCGAGACTATCTTGGAATGCAGAAGGTTGAGGAGTACAATGAGACAACTTTGAATCTTCTTGCAGGATGTGTTGACCAAACTAAAGATGGGTATGTACATAAAGTTCCTAAAAAATACATATAATTACCCGTCATCATTACAAAACAACTCAAACAACATAGTATAGCAAGCTTCCTGCTTGTTTAAATAACCAGATTGTCCTGTTCAATTCATGTTGTCAATAATTCTTGAAACTTTTCCTTGCAAATCATATAAAAACATTCACTTTGCCCAAGGCAAATACTATTTTCAACTCTTCAACTTCTGATGAAAATATTAACAACTTCTCCAATTACAAAAGCACCAAATCTTATTTGGACTGGTGACTTAACCCTTCAACCCTTTAACTCCCAAAAGTGATCAACTTAAAACTTCTCCCTACAATATCCTTACATTCTTCAGCAAACATGTTATGAGAATATTCAAACTTATCAGGTAGAAGCTTCTATCTTGATCTAGCACCAAGTTCTCATAACTAATTTACAAGGAAATGTATAGAAGCTACAAGGCAGAATTAACAATCAGATCTTGGGAGTTAAAGGGTTAACTCCCATGAGTGACCAAAACAGAATTTCTCCCCACAATATTGATACAATATCAACCAGATAAGTGATGAGAATAAAGAAAAATATCAATTTGGTGATAATTAGTTGATCCATTACTAAACTCTCTGAACTTACATTAAAAGAATTGTATGGTTCACAGTAAGGAGAATGACAAATTTGATCAGGGAGTTAGAGGGTTAAGAAAAGCGAAATGACTGAAATTTCTTAAACAAATCAGAATCCAACTGACTCTTTGTTTTTCTTGCAGCTTGATCTCATTTAGTGAATTCTTGGCATTTGAGGCCTTACTGTGTAACCCAGGTGCTCAACACAAGATTGTTTTTCAACTTTTTGATCTGGATGGGAAAGGATCAGTGACATTTGGTATGTTGCCCAGATAGTGACATAAATTTTCAGTATAATAATTATGTATTAGCTGCAAGAATTCATTATACACATATATTGTGGATGTAATGTTTCCTTAGTAATGATTTTTCCAACTAGTTTGAGTTTTCTTTTCTTTTTTTTTGTTTTTTTTTTTGTTTTTTTTGTTTTTTTTGCAATCATGGACTTAATATGGAACAAAGTATACAATAATTAAACTGGTTTGAGGAAAATGTATGTGTGTAGAAGTTCAAATGCATGCATGTAAAATTGATTTGGAAAATAATTTTTTTGTCTTTGATTTTGAGTTGGTGAACTCTATAAATCAAGTACCATAATGAATATAGTTGCAGTCTAAGTCTGTAGTTAAGCAAATAATAACCTGGGCTGGGTTATTCAAAGCTAAGTTTGTATGACCCAGGGTTAGTGTGGAATCTGATTTCAGATTTGATAGCTTTAAAAGAAAATTCAGTCAAATTATTTTTGTCCATAACATGATTCTTTGATGCTCTAAAAATAACACAGGACATTATCCCAAAAGGCCTTTGAATAAAGGAATAAAGAAACCCAAATTAAAATTTAACCTTGGATTAGTGCTAATGGGTCTTCAAACAACTGGGTCCTGGTCCTGCAAATGAAAACCTGCAAATAACCTGCAAATAATAACCTAGTCCTTATGAATAAAAGGGCAGGACTGATACATATTATTCCAAAAAGCATTACCAGAAATTATTGTAATGGAATCTCCAATGGTAAGACTGTTGATTGTCATGTAAGTGGTGGGACATTAGACAATTTACATGTATTTCCTTCTTGTAACTAGGAGATACATGTGCGTGTAGATTGTGAACAGCATCGCTTCCATGATTTGCATTAATTCAAAGGGGTTTCAAAAAGTGCAATTATTGCAGCAATACAAGGAGTCATGCATTAAAATGTACATGCAGTTTTGGAAATAGTACAAATAAAGCAATTTGTCCCTTGAAACAACTTGTTACCTGGTGCTTATTCCATGGATTATATTTACCATTGTTACCATAAAAACCTGCAGATAAGCCGCACCTTTGTTCAAAAAACTGTTGCTAGAAATTGGGGGTGCGGCTTATCTGTGGGAACATTTTCCATTTTCATGTCTGATCTAATGCCTGGTTACTAAGCTTCAAATGTTCCACCCATGTTCTTGTTGTAATGCAAAAATCTATGGAAAAACTGTGTTGAATGAATAAATTCCTGTCAACAGATACCAGAAAAAGATCAATCATATGTCAAAGTTGGTAGAAACAATGTTCATTTTATTAAAGTGCTAATTGTGGGTAATACTTTGAAGTATTTTCCGTTGCAATGTTAATGGTGAGTTTATGTTCGATGAACAATGGATGAAGAAGATTTCTCAAGACTTGACTTTGGATTTCTTTTGATTTCTTTCAAAAAAATTTTTTTCCAAAATTTGAGCTGCTAAATTCAGGGTGCAGTTTATCTGGGGGTGTGGCTTATATGCGGGTTTTTATGGTACTCACGTTTTCATTCATATTTTTCAGATGAGTTTGAAAATGTTATCAAGAAGACAACTTTTTTCAGCAAAATAAAGTTCAACTTCGACACTGAGTTTGTCAAGACATATTTTGGGGTTAACAAAAAGGCCCGTATTCGTTTTGATGACTTCTCACATCTGCTACAGGTTAGTAAATTATGTTTTTCAAACAGCCCCGTGGTACACATATGAATATTCTCCTTGCAACACCCTGCATTAATTTAAAAATTATGTTAATTTCTCTTTTGTTTCGCAGGATTTGGAGAAGGAGTACCAAAGACAGGCATATTTTCAAAGTAAAATGCCAGACGGTGAAATAACTGCTGTAAAATTTTCAGAGATAATGAAAGTTTTACGAGGACACAAGCTGTCTCCATTTGTCAGAGAATACCTTCTCACGGTAAGAACTGGTTCAGTTTCTTTCTTTGTTTCTCAAATAAGGTAAATTTTCAGAGATGTCAGTGTCTGTTAATCCTCAATCTGGACATGTTTGATTGTGGATCACAGCCCTACAAATTCAACCCACAATTCCTTCACTGAACTTTTAATTCCAGTCTCCCCACATATTGAAATAGGCTGAAATGAATACAAGCAATTAAAAAGACTTCACAGAAATACAACCATCCTGGAACAGAAAACCCTATAATTTTGAGAAGGGAATACACTGTTAACTGTACTATTTTTCCCTTCTTGTGCAGCAAAATATCCAAATTCTTTTTTAATTAGATGGATTTGTCCATTCTTGTGGGATGGTTTCCTTAACAATGCACCCTGTAATAAAAATGCATCTGATCAGTGTATGTTGCTCGCAGAACTGTACATGTAATGTTCCTCTTATTGCAGGCTGCTAGTGGAGAAGGTGGCCATCGAGTAAGCTATGGTTATTACAGAGCATTCAATGTAATGCTTGATCATGCACAAGTTCTCCATGATATGGCAATAAAGGCTGCAAAAGGGAATCGCTACAGGGAACTTAAGAAAGGTAAACTGGTTAACACAAATGTAAAATTATTGTACTAGGCTGCTGATATGTATAAATATGAAATTTTTAGTCTGTGGTCTGGAGAGTTTGCTGTGAGAGGACATACACTGTATCTTGCACCAATTTTTTCAAAAAAATTATTTCAGTTGAAAATGTCTTATTTATAAAATCAGATGAAGAGAGACAGCAGGTTATAGAGAGTGCTTGGACTGCTTGTCAAAATGCTTTTTTTTTTTAATTTTTTTCAGCTGACATGCTACAGGAGGCCAAAGCTGATGCTGAGGTATGTACAACTTAAAATTTGAAGTTCCTGTGCTTCTATTTGTTTTGTACAATGCAAGAGAAATTTCTTTACTGGAGAAGTAACCAACATGGTTAACAATTATTTATATTTTCAGAAAAAAAACCATGCTGAAAATTTTTCCTTGCTCAGATTAGGAAGAGCCTTTGAATAGTTCATATTAGAAGTAAACAATATGTTTCATCAATCTCATTTCAAGACCTTGCAAAGCAAATTTGATTCTTCATTATGCATTTTTTCTTGAAAAAATAACAAAAAAATTGGTAACAATAAATACACAGAACTGTGTGCCAATAATTTGTTTAATTCTCTCTGTAAAGAAGACCTTCAAACGTCTTGACCCTTGAGCCTCCATCCCTGACACTCATGTCAAGATTGTCATCTTACTTTTGAGCAGTACTGTACCTCAACTGAGGGAGCATCAGTTTCAAGCCACTATTCTGAATGAATTTTACCATTTTGGATGATTACCCTAGAGATGTTTCCTCTTTTCCCCTTGCAGATCACTCCTTTAGTTATTGATATTCTATTCCATCTGTGTGACTTGGAACACAGGAGAGGGTAAGTGGATCAACCACGCCCAACTAGGGTTAGTTCCTAAAGATTGCAGACCAAGTTAGGCAAAAGGTTTGCTCATTAATTGGCTGAACAGTAGTATCCAATGAGTAAATTGTGGTTTCTGCAAAACAAGCTGTTCTGTCCATCAAAACTTGTATAACATTATGCACCTAAACTTGTGGATGATTAATGCCAATCAGACATAATAAAGACAAATGTCGCCCATTGAACAAGGAGGAGGGATACATGTAGTTATTAAAGTGCTGCAAGCACTTTTCAGTCAGCCTAAACTTTCATAATTTCACCAATTAAATACAGTGAACCAGCAAACCCCAGTGCAAGGTGTTCTATTTAAATACTCACAACCCATGATCTCCCTCTCCTCTCTAAATAGGGGCAAAGATTGTATAAGTTAGTATTTCTAAACCTTTTGATCTCTTAATATCTAATGACCAACTTCTAATTTCTCTTTTCAATATCACCTCAATCAAGAATCAAGATAGAAAGAAATGATTACTAGTCAAAGAAGCTCTTGATTGTTAACCAAATTCTCCTTGTCAGCACTTTAGGAAATGTATGGAGAACAGTATGGAGAATATGCATACTGATGTTAGGGTGTAGAGGATTAATTCATTGTACGTGGCGATAAATCAGCTTCACACGAATAATCAGTCACAGACTCAGCACATCATTATTTTAAAGAAACTCACCCCAAAAGTCATAACTACTTCCATTCGCGCTATTTTCAGCACACTGTGTCACATAGTAGCCCCGTAATCGAAACGTGACCCATCTTTGTTTGTTATTGCTGTAAATCATTTGGTGTCCATCAGCTGTGATTTGCTGTTGCATATTTCAGGTGGATCACAGTGTCAGATGTGCATCAGATTCTTCCGCATCGGGATGTATTTAAAGTTTTCTCCACGGAAAAAATTGAAGAGGAGGTTTGTGAGGACACGGCCCTTGAGTCATTAAATTAGTATTTACTGCGAAATTTTGTTGATTTGAGCATTAGCCATGTTGCTTTTACGAAGGGACAACAATTAGTACTCTTATAATGTAGTAATTTACCAGCTCAGAGTTTTAACGTCGTACGTAATTGCCAACGCAACGTTCTGAAATAATCTGCTAAATACTTGCGGTTGATAAGACTTTTACAACTCTAGTTCCAAGACTGTTCAAAACTGTAAACCCCCCAGTCTTTAGGCACTTTTCTTTACACCAAGTATTCGTCATCGGGCAGGCTTGAAATCGAATTCCATTTTCTTCGAGAAGAGTTTAAAAAGGACTTAATAACCATTTTGATAGAGTCGTTGACTCCTTTCTTGCTTGAGATTTTGATTACACTGATTCGCCAAAAGGAAGAAAAAAGCCAAAAATTAGGAATTTTTACTTTGTAAAGCCTTTCAAAACATTTTCCCTTTGATCATCTGTCTTCTTTGATTTAAGACAAACAGGCAAAGAGAACGAAATCTGAAAGTCTTTTCAACACTTTATTTGGTGGAAGATTGTCAAATTTCTCTATTTAGTATATCGACTACTTACATTCTACTTACATTTTCATATACTCTATTATGTCTTTGATACGTTGTTTCTCTTTTCTGAATATGTAGCAGATGATAACCAAACCCAAAGATGAAGAAGGGTCCGTTTTATGGAAAGCTGTAGAGCAAGTTTATCGGTTTGGCCTCGGTTCTGTGGCTGGAGGTAAGCTTTGTTGAAGTACGCTATAACACTTGTGAAGTCTTGTTAATGCTCGAAACGAAATAGTCCATCGTGTTGTTTTTCCTCATTGCTCTTCTATATATTTTGCTCTATGTTCTCTTTGTATCGTGTACACAGCTGTTCATAAATGCGAGAGAGGGTCTTGGTATTAAGGCACTCACTTTGAACATAAGCATTGACGGGAACAGTTAGACGAATTTCCTTCGATTCAAAGCCCGTTCGTGGTTTCACTATAACAACTACTATAAATTAACAGATATAACACGCGCTCTGGTTGGTCAAAACCCTATTCAATAGGGTTTGCAGTGTATTGTATACTGGATAAAGCCATGACTATTATATGCAACCACACCCTCCATCGAAATACTAGCGTAATAATCGACTCTTGATGCTAATAGGACTTTCAAAAAGTATGCAAACTTTTCTCTTAATCTCTCAACATTCCGCGTGGGTTATTACGCCGGTGAAACGAAAACAACTGTAGTCTATTGCTTAAATATACCATGATGAGAGAACCAATCGCGTTCTGCGATCGGTTTGCAATCTGTCAATAGAGCCCTGGGCACGATCGTTAACCCTTCAATCCCTAAGAGTGATTAGCATATAATTTCTCCCTACAATATTATCTCATATTTAAACATTAAGATCACAAGAATTAGGGAAATGATCACCAACTGAAGAAGCTTTTGATTGTTTTACACATTCTCCTTGTCAGTACCTAGGAAATGTATAAAGAACAGTATGCAGAATATGCATACTAATGTTAGGGCGTAAAGGGTTAATGTAAGCCCAAGCTCCGGTCGTTCGAGGGGTGAATAAATGTCAGTCCGGTGGATATTGCAATACGTTTTCTTTAAACTTATTCACTGGGTAGCGATGTATCCATTGGATAACATTATCTGCCCTTTGGACAAATGGGCCAAGTACTTTTAGCAGTACTCTGAAATCAGGATGATTGGATAGTGGATCAATTCGTTATCCTGGTCCATAAAGACGCAAATATGGAACACGGCTCTTATCCGGCGCTCCAAACGCTCAAAGTCGCAGCAGTAGGGTGAGATAGGCTTATCGTCGTGCCAATAAGAAAACAAGTTTCGTTTTACCTTGCCCATCTGTGCGGCCAGTGATGAAGTGTTGATAATGAAAACTAAAATCTACATCAGGAGAGCATTGGCTCTTTCGATTCAAAAACAGGCTTACTCATTTCGCTGTTAACGCGTGCACTTCAATGTGAAAATAACTTTTGGCTGTGTTGTTGTATCCGTCAGCTGCTGGAGCGACTGCAGTGTACCCTATTGATCTGGTCAAGACAAGAATGCAGAATCAGCGAGCAGTGTTGGCTCAAGAGAGACTGTACGCTAACAGTTTTGACTGCTTCCTCAAAGTTATTAGAAATGAAGGCCCGCAAGGATTATACAGAGGTTGGTACCTTGCGACAATTTTTTGCTTATTTGACTTTCCCAAAGTGTCATCTCTTGTTAGCTCCTTTCAATCTTTAACCTTCAGTTTATTTTTCTAATAAAGTAATTTATGTTTCATTTTGGAGAAAAGTTTCAAGTTCTTTAAAATTTCTTGGCGACTCTGTATAAGTCATTCACCTTCCTGACTCCCTACCTACTGAAGAACATATCACGTTTCATTTTAGTTTTATTACTTGTTTTAGTTGCAGTTGGTTCTACTTTGGCGCCCTCAGTGACGCTAAATGTTTAGTGTAATTTTTTGTTTTAGGATTGCTTCCTCAGATTGTTGGAGTTGCCCCAGAAAAGGCCATTAAATTAACGGTAAGTTTATTACTGTATTTCACTTCAAGTTTAATCGGTCGTGAAGTCAGTCAAAAAGTCGATCTTTAGTCGGTTGGATAGTCATCATCAATCAGTCCCTCCGTTAGACGATCAGTCCATCAGTTAGTCAGTTGGTTGGTAAGTCGGTAGGTTGGACAGTTGATCGGTCGGTCGGTCGGTCGGTAGGTCAATCGGACAGTCAGTCAGTCAGTCGGTCAATCAGTTAATCACTCCGGCTGTCGGTCAGTCAGTCATTCAGTCATTCAGCCAGTCGGTCAGTGAGATAGTCAATCAGTCAGTCGGACAGTATGTCAGTCATTCAGACATTTAGTGGGTCAGTCGGTCTGTTAGTCCGTGCGTTTTTCAGTTGGTAAAGGTAAAAATCTCTTACGAGCAAAGTTTACTTTGACTGATTTCTTGCATTTTCTGTTCAGACAAATGACTTTGTTCGTGACGTGTTTCGCGATAAAGATGGATTCATAAGCTTGCCTTTTGAGATCGTAGCTGGTGGATGTGTAAGTATTTTTTGAACCACTGAAACTTTAAGGTGCTGGGTAGACGACTTACGTGTTCTTCAGATTCAGTCAATTACAAAGTGGCAATCTCTTTGAGAAAAAATCCCTCAAGATATCCGTGATTTGAGCCAGTCGTTTTATATCAAGGCTTATACAACTATCGCATGTTTGTCAAGATACGAAACGTAGCGAGTGGAAATCAAATGATCGAATTTTACGATGGCAAAGAAGAAAAAGAACCGAGTCACACAAACAAAGAAAGTGAGAATGGCGATGTTGCTTTCTTTACATTGTATACTACCCAATTGAAATCCTGTAGTTATGGCGACTGTCGATCCCGCTGTTGTGGTTTACCAAATTTTTAATGACGTGATTTACTTGTATGACGTCACACAGTGGTTTAGACTGCTTGCAGTCTCTCTTTTTTCCAATGGTAAGAGAGCGAGAAGAGACTGGGGCAAGAGTGTTCGATGAGACCCATTCCCTTTCCGTTTAATCACCATTTATGCGTTTGCTCTCTCTCCAAGGTCGCTAGACCCAAGATAAAATAGTGGTCCCTATTTTCTCTTGTGGGACCGTAAAAGAAAAAAGACTACACACAGTCTTAAGGCGGTCACGATTGCCTCTGGTCTTTGGTTAATCAAACGTAGAGTTAGTCAAAAGAGTAGGGGAAACGTATATGTAAGCTTTTTGTGTATTTCTGTAATGGTGACAGCGCAGACGATGAGGAGTAATCGTGGCGATCAGCCGCCAGTTTTACTTGAAATATTCATTTCTTTAGGGAGGAGCTGCTCAGGTTCTGTTCACCAATCCTCTAGAGATCGTGAAGATCAGGTTGCAGGTCGCTGGAGAAGTTGGAGCTACCGGTAAAGACAAGGTGACGGCATTGAGGGTCATCAGGGAACTGGGACTGACTGGACTTTACAAGGTACTGTCATCAGAACAACTTAGGAAAGATGTTATTTGTATTGTCACCAGCGTGGGACAAAGGGGGAATACAGTTGTCAGATTTTATAGTAGTCCCATGCTCATGAAATATTTGATAACCGAGTTCCAATCTACCTTCCTTCCAATATCATTTCCACACTAGAGCAACAAGTAAAAAAAACAAGGTTTTCCATCCCTCTAAACGGGATAAACCGCTTGTGCCGCGGGAATTAATGTTCAGCGACTCTGTCGCGCTGGTTACATTTGATTATAGTAAATGGAGGTTCTTAATTGTTGTTTTCTCTTTCTTGTCACTCAGGGTGCACGAGCTTGCTTTTTAAGAGACATTCCATTTTCTGGTATTTATTTCCCGGCTTACGCTCATCTGAAGCTTCACTTCAAAGACGAGAATGGCCAGACTGGTGCTGTCGGACTTCTTGTCTCTGCAATGATCGCTGGTGAGAGAAATTGATTGATCGATGGCTTTGTCAACATGCTATTGCTGTAGAATGTACGGTTCAATCAGCTGCTGGAAAATACCTTAAATTGGTTTGAAAGACCTAGGCGTTTCAATATTGTGTATCTTTTTCCATGCAGGAGTTCCTGCAGCAGCTTTAGCAACCCCAGCTGACGTCATCAAGACTAGATTACAGGTAAACCGTCGAAGCATCCTCACCCGTTCACCTCGGTTTTCACCCGTTTTTCCCCTTGTTGAAACCGCGCTAGCGGAAATTTATCTCTTGTTTAGAGTTTCTTTTTGTTAATCCTTTCTTTTAGTAACGATCCAAGCTGATGAAAAGCTTTCTTTCCCTTTTTCTGTAAATTCATGTCAACTTTTTCTTGTAATCGGGGAACCCTTTCAGAATTTAAAAAGGAAAAAAAAGGAACCGAGTTGAGTGAGGAAAGCAATTTGCACCCTGTCCGAGACTACAGAAAGCATGCTTGACGAGATGTATTGTGCTTTGACCTTTGAATTCAACTTTAGTGCGGTCTAATTTACGGAAAGCGATCGAATGATTAAAGGATCCATCTAATAAATTTTTGCTTCCTAACAACAGTCGTTCATCATACTCACGACCAAAATATTGCTTGTAGCCAAGGACTTTGCTAATCAAAACTCTGTTTGCTGGGCGTAGGTGAAAGCTCGGTCAGGACAGCAGACATATCGAGGGGTGATTGATTGTTTCAGGAAAATACGGAAGGAGGAGGGAGGTAGAGCCTTTTGGAAAGGAGCAGGAGGTCTGTTTGATTAGAATACTATTTGAATTTTCTAATTCAAAATGTACGCGAATTAAAGTGTTCGGCCTGTCCATATGTAGAGGTACCACAGCAAACTTCGCTGCTGCGAGGCATTCGCATACTTCGCTTGTTCGGTTTCCAGCACCTCAATGATTGGATGATTGAAATTTATTCGTGGCTTGATTGGAAGAGAATGATCGCAGAAAGAAAGCAAGGGCATCAGCCTCGCTTACATGCATCGGTCGTCCCCCCATTCTATCCACCTGAAAGATATTAATGATTGACAAATATCAAACTTTCTTCAAAGAGTGATTGCAGCAGCAATAAAACTGACGTCTTATGTTTCTTTCGCCTATAGCGCGAGTCTTCAGATCCTCGCCTCAGTTTGGGGTCACTTTGCTCACGTATGAAATTCTCCAAAGAGTGTTTAAAGTGAATTTTAGCGGAAAGGGGTGAGTACAATGAACAGCATGGACATGAAAGACGTGCGGTCAGATTTAATCTGTGTCCCTTACATGCGAATCGATATTACGTATTATTTTTACCCTTCGTTGTAACCTATCAGCGAGCAGTGCACTATAAATTTGTTGGCTTTCAACTAAAAACATCATCGTTGGGTTGGCTCTTGTCAGAACCATTTACCTTTTAACTCCCAGATCAAATTTTATAATCTCCTTACTGTCAACCATACAATTCTTATAATGTTAGTTCAGAGAATTTAGTATTGGATCAACTAATTGTCCCAAGATTGATGGTTGTCTTTATTCTCATCACTTATCTGGTTGATATTGTATTGATATCGTAAGGAGAAATTCTGTCTTGGTCACTCCTGGGAGTTAAAGGGTTAAAACATCGATATCACATGTATCGCTTCTTTGCTTACTTTCATCGTCACTGATACTTAGCCATTGAATCGTGACAAAGCACTTTTATACTGCGCGTTTACGAACAATCGTTAATCCTTACCTAGAGATTTTCATACTATGTTTTTTCATTTTGATTCTTGCAACAGAGCAATAGTGCACGAAGCCTGGAGTGAAAGAAGGTCCTATAACCCTGACATCTCATTACATCCTGACCACATCGGTGGCATGAGAATGGCTGTGGCCTCGTTTGCAGGCATTGAAACCAGGTTCGGTTTATGTTTACCCAAGTTCGCACATGCAGCAGCAGAGAAAAAAGCTAAATGAACATTACTCCGGAGGGAAAGGATAGGTAGCAGACTTGAACTGAATCCGTCGAAGCCGATGAAAAAGAAATTGCTGATCAATTTCAGTCTGTTTGAAGGAGATTCAAACTCTAAAGAACCTTCCTCAACATTAACATTCAAGCCACGCTTGTCATAAGTGGGTAGCTGTGTGTCTATTTAAGCTTGGTTGCGCTTGTAACACAGGTGTGGCACCATTAGTACTTGTTATTCGCACGTGAGCGCGTATATGAAGTCACTTGGATCGTTAGTGCATCGTGTATTTGGCAGAAAGAGCTAAACTAGCAGATTTGAATTAAAAGCAGCGTGTATGATGCACGAATTTTCAAATTTAATCGTGACTATGTCAAACAAACCAAAGTGGCGTTAGGAAACTGTGAAATGCTATTCTTATCTTTTTGTCCTTAAAATGCCATTTTAAGCATTGAAAATCTCCATCTTGCAAGGGGAAAATTTTTGTGGGAACCCTAGAGCAGATATTCTTGATTGAATTTACCGCTTTATATTATATATTATATTGTTCAAATAGCCTTTGTTTTATTAGCAGTTTATTTAAATTGCAGAGGCTTATATCACATCGATCAGATTCAAATTTTTTATAATTCAAGTTTATTAATGTAGCAAATGTAATCATCAATTCGTTTGACAAAAGACTTTCAGGAACTGCGTAAAAATAAGGTCTTGATTCACGCACACAAGCAAATGCTGGCGAACATAACAGCGCCGAGCACTGCTCTATTTATTAATAGGCTTTCAAGGTCTATGCGAGAACGAACTTTTTCAATATAATGGAATGACATGAAAGCTCGACACAGTCGGATTCTGATGTGAATTCAACTGTATTGTTTGCCCGCTATAATCTTTCCTTGTGGGGCCTGTGGGTGACTAATGTTAATCCAGGCGTCTGATCCGGGGTCTTGGTTACTAACAGAAAATATATGTCAAAATATTTTTATGTTTGAATTTGTTGTAATTTGGTCTGAGAATGCGTGGAAATACAACGGACGCTAGTCTTCTCGTTTAAGTCGCGGAATGCTATGTTTCTCTCTTTTGATTCAAAGGTGAAGTTTGCTTTCATACCGATCGATATATCTTAAACAAGTAAAACTGAAAAGTAGTGCGGTGTTCCGGCCTTAAGTTCTTACGGTTGTTTCGTCTCGCCATCCAAGTTGTATACTCTTCAGTTTCTCTTATCCGTCTCTCTCTTCACAATACGTGTTTTCCCAACAAAACGTCCTTCCCTTCTGAAATTGTAACGTTCCTGTCAATAGTGCGTTTCCCATGCCTCGAAACCACGATGCATACACTCATTTCTCTCGTTCCCTCCAAAGATATCTTCCTCTCTTAAAACACGTCTCTTAGTTGAGAATATGTTGGGGTTATGAAGAAACAAAGAATCGTCTAATTGTTCCCTTTCAAGATTAGCTTAGATGAGGCTTAGTGGGGCTCCCCAAAACAGTTGCCTTTAATCAAAATTTAGCGTATAGCGATAGGTAGTTCAAAAAGTACGATAATTTAGCTTTAGTAATCAGTTTTACTGAAACCAAAGAGGAAAGAAAACAACATGAAACCAATTTTAATTAAATATTGAACACGGTTGAAATTCTGTTTCTTCGTAGGTTGTTTTCAATTTTCGGCCTCTCGTTCACACGAGCACTTTCATCGAAAAGGGCAAACTAAGGGCTCTTCGACGATTATTATTAAATCATCAATAACCTTGCTAAATGGACGCAACGAGTACGATTCTTACTTAACAAGAATTGGCCGATCAGCTAGTTGCGGTAGCCAATATTATATCCAGACTCACAAAAAAAGGCAGCTGCGCAAAACCTGAAGGAGCTTCAATTATTTAATCGGAGCAATTTACGAGCCATGCGCTAATTGCCATTTCCTTTTGAAATGGAAAACTGAACAACATGTGACAATTCTTTTGACACACTCAAAGACAAAAGGAATATTTCCTGACAGTGCAGGTTCAAAGGGTTATTTGCAAGTTGCCATGTTGCTAATAAAATTGGAAGTACTTATTCAAACACTGCTGCTCCGACTAAACCGCGTCTGATATGGTAATTGCGAATCACGGCGGGGTGTGCCTCTTCACTTTGTTAAAATGCAGCTGATAGCTTGCCACAGCAAACGAACGGATGATAGACTTAAGCTCACGGGCAATAGGCAGTCCCAAGAAAAACATGACGGGGACCTTCAGTTCGACTGAGTTGCTACAAAAAAGACTATATGAATAACGAACGTTACCGCCAACCTAACTCTTGAGTCGAATACGAGCAATGCCTCTTACCAAAACGCCATCTTTTCTTACTAATTTTCTTCTCTTGATGCGATTTTTGCTTTCAATCAGTCGAGCACAAATAACAATGAACTTGAGCTCACAATTGTCACTGCCAGCAAGTTTAGAATTGCATAGCACTTTCAATGTGGGAAGAACTAGAAATTCTTCACGAAATAATTGCAATAGAGCGTATTTCTTCTGTCTAGTCTGGTCGGAACTTGTTCGTGCTTTAACGAATTCAACATGGATTGGAGATTACAACAGAGATTTTTATTGTCTCTGAAAGAATTAGACCAGCTTATGATTATGTCACCTTTCTTTATCTTAAAACTATTGTCTACATTTCCAAAGCTTGTTTTGTGGGGAAATAAGCATATATTATTCCTTATTCTTAATCTCCTCAATTAAGCTATAAAACTTCGTAGCAGCTTATTTCTCGAGCCAATAAGCACCATGAATATTTAAAATTCATATGGAGACTGCAGTCTGGCTGTAATTATATGCATCCTATCCAAATAAAGTGTGCTACAACAAATGTCAAGCGCTTCTCTTTTTTCAGCTTTCAAGGTTCAAAAAATATAATTATCCCAGAAGAGCTCGGGAAAAATCCGGGAAAAAGTTTTTTTCAGGACAATTTGAATTAATATAAAATTTGTGGTCGGAATAAGCTTCTGCTGTCGTGAATCAACAACTGAAAAGTGCAAGGACTTATATTAATCCTCATTTAAAGCGATCAGGCTATCTAATTCAGTTATATCCCAAATTTCTTTATTTGCCCTTATTTAAGAACTTTATTTAGACTGTGCCGTCATCTTTTTTTCCGATCTTGTCTACGCATTAATTTGATCTATTTGCGTTTTTCAATTGAAATTACTCGTTTGTCTTATAAACATCAACCTAAAAAAAAGAAGGTTTTGTAAAGGACGCGAAGAAAGTTTGAAAACTGAGGCTAGTAAGTAATGTACAGCAGAAATGTCATGCACTGGAGAGAAGAATAAATTGAAGATACAGAACGTTATTAGTTTTATTGTAAACAACGTGGTCGGGTAAACCTTTCATCAAAGCTGGCAAGTGTCGAAACCAGCGGAAACCTCTGGATCTTATCACCAAAAGATTAAAAAATATTTACATTTTTTGTTAGCTCGTTCAGTGAGAAGTGTTCTTGAAAGTGGTTGGTGGACGGTCTCGCGTTATAAAGCTCAATACTTGCTCTTGCAAAGATAATCATTTGAATTTTAATTTAGTGTAGCTTCACTTTCCTTCACGGTTGGCATTGTGCTTATCTGATATCAAAATAATGCAGACCTTATCCGTTACTTACTTTTTAAAACTAGGATAAACTCAGGGACGTTAAGAAATTTTTCGCCCTTTTCATGGAATCCGTACAGCTGTAAACATGAGTGGAAACTATTATCATCTTAAGCTCTCAACATTAACCGACTTTTTTAATCTCGAGATGCAAATAGTGAATTTAGTGAATTCCGGTCCCAACGCATTGAATATTCCACGCCGTGGGCTCCACTATCTACTTTTCAAAATCTTCTCATGATCATTTGCAAGCTTTTAGCAACACCGAAAGGATAGGCTATTCGATAAGGTCTTTGTTGCGTTTTAAAGAGGGTAATGCCTAATAACACAGGATTAAAAACAACCATCTAGGCGATACTTGAGATTCTTAAAAACATATACATATTTAACATAAACCTAATCAAAACGAAAAAAAAAATGGAAAAAAAAAGACCGAACTTATTTTTTCCCTCAGGCTATTGGGAAATCATTTTCTAACCCGTCCTCGTATGTGATAATGCACTAGATTTTGGGCCTCTAATTAAGACTCTGTCAAATTCTGAAGGGTGCTTTCTTCACCAGTTGAGAACCACACGGATGCTGTGTGTGGGGCTTTTGTCCAAACGACCGAGCCAATCTTTCTTTTGAATTCTGAAGCAGGTTCGGAAAAGGAGTTGAAACTCCCTCTCCGATCTGCCTTGTATCGCTTTAACAACCTTTGAATAGCTTTACGAAAGTGGTGGTTGTACGTGGTGTATATGATCGGATTGAATGCCGCGTTGCAGTTTGGCAAGAGATGGACGAAAGTGATCTTCAGAAAATTCATCAACTCTCTGGGAAGGCCATCAAATGCACCAGGACTGTACAGACTGAGCAAAGTGAGCACAAAAAACGGTGACCAGCAAATGCAAAATACGCTCAGAAGTATAATCAATGTTTTTGTCGCCTTCACCTCGAAGAAGATCGTCCCGGCAGAAAAGCGACTGGATTTTCTTCTTGAGTTCCGCTCACTTCCGTTGCAAAGCGACTCTTGTAGACGGAACACCTCAGTTGCTTGGTTAACCGCAACTTTAAATACAAAGCAGTACATAAGAATCATGATGGTGAAGGGGGCAAAAAACCCGATAAAGGAAATTGCTGTCAGGTAGATCTTGTTGTCGATATAGCATATTTGTTCTCGTACTATAATTCCCAAAGCCTCACCGGACACAAATGATAGCGACGCCAGAGATATGGAATATCCCCATAGTATTACTAAAATAACAGCGACACGGGTTGATGTCATTCGGATGTCGTAAGTTAGTGGCGAAGCGATCTTTAAATAGCGGTCTACACTAATGGCCGCTAAGTTTGCTATGGAAGCAGAGCAGAATAACAAATCTAGCCAGACCCAGAATCTACAAGCCCCCAAACCGAGTGTCCACAGATAGTAATCCAGCACGTATACAATGCGGAAAGGTAGACACACCAATGCGAACAAAAAGTCGGCCAGTGCAAGAGAAAGGATGAAATAGTTTGTGGGTACTTGGAGCTGTTTGACAGTGAAGACAAGGTAGCACACCAAGCAATTACCGCCGACCGACACGACGAGGACAACAATCAGGATGACTACTTGGGTAATTATTTCAAAATCACTTGGAATTGAGAAAAATTGAGTTGTGTAATTCAGCCCAGAGTCGTTGACTGGTCGAAAATAGTTCAAAAACGAAGAGTGGTTACTTGCTGCATTCGCATGCATGACGTTGTTTGTCTCTCGAAGGCTCGCAGTGTCAAGCTTGACCTCTGGTACAACGGCTGTCTTCCTCGCTATAAAAGACCTCTTACAAACTGACAAAAGATTGCCAAATGAAGACTGTTCTTCTTGTCAGTTAAACTATATAAATATTCGCTACGTTCAGTATTCAATTGTTTTCGGAATATATAATGATATTTGCCTCCCTGTTCCAAAGTTACAGTGCTATTGAAAACTAAGTGAGTCGGCCAGCTGATTAATTCAACGGACGTGATAAGAAATATACCAATTTTACGCAGCAAAAATTATCTCCTTAGGACATCTGTAGCTGCGAGTATTTTTCTGCTGTGAGATTTTCTTGACTCGTCAGGCAGATTTGAAGACTAGTTAATACCTTTGACAGTCAAATAGAATTGAGAAATCTTCGGAAACGGATGAACTTAAATTTGGACAGGTCATCAAAGATATCTCGATTGGCTCATATCACATCCTTTGATCACCGACTAATAACATGGACCCATTTGTTTTGTTAAGTCAAACTTAAATAGCTGAACAATTTGAAATTTGAATTAAAATAGCCCTTAGCCTCCCCCCTTATGAGAACCTGGAACACTGGCGCAGTTCATGATTCGCGGGATAATACTGAACATTGTTCATCACATCTCACGAAATATCACACCCACTTCCTAGTCTGTCTAATGACATTGAGCGATTCCAAATTGAGGGTTACTCATTAGCGACAATGGATCTGCTTGCAACTTTGCCATCATAAAGTTTTCAAGCCTCCTTTAGTTTGAGAAAATCCAGAATAATATCTTTCCTAGACAATATTCTATTATCATAAAGTAACATATATTTCCGGAACAGTCAATATTGAATTGAACCGACCAATGAAAATCACCAATAAATCACTTGCACCTGCGCGGCGGTTCTTTTTGTTTTAGCTAAAGACAAATTTTAGGAAGTCAAATCTGCGGTTAGAAAACAACGGTTCCTCCGCGCCAAGGAAACCAAAAGAAAACAAACTGAGTGCTTTTAGTGAAAAGCTGTTCCAAAGTTTCTTCGCCAAGGTGAAACGACTTAAACATAGGAAGCTAAAACAACAGATTAGTTGGATTTGTTTATTTGTATAACAAAAGAAGATGTTGAACGTGTAGGGCCATCTCCGATAACTAATCGAGCTCATTACAGTGTTATCTTTAAACGCAAGTTCTAATTTCGTCATTAATTGTGCTCTGAAAAACAAAGTCACCTCCGGCCTGGAAAGTTCCCACCATTGATAAAATCGCCGACAAATTTTAATTGACAAATTTTTAATTGCCTGAGGTGAGAGTTCTTGTAAATAGGCAAACGAATATGGATTTTTGCACGTTTGCATGATCCACGAAAATCATTTCATCATCAGCTTTAGTTTACAGTGCTCATTCAAAAACAGACTGTCGATTATAAATGTTTGTTTCGCCAGCTTTCGTTTTTACGTTCGCACTTTAACGCTTCTTTGATAACTTCCAGCTGCAGCAAACCATTGAAAAAATCGTAAATTGCAGTTTTATAAAATAACGCTTCAACAAAAGAATCTAAAAGCTCTCCCACCTTTTTCAACAGCGTACGAAAAGCTGACAAAATAAAATATAATTGGGAATAAAGGGCCCCTTAGCAAACTTGCTTTAATGAAAGGGCCTCGCTGAACCTTTTCAAGTCCAGATTTTAAATTGCATTGGTAAACTCATTTTATATCAACTGCGCACTTCCATTAATCAGTTGCGGCGAGCGACTAATTTGAGACGCCAATAGCAGCTGCAAGATATATATTTTCCCCTGGTGGTGATTATAGATGTTTCATCTGCGCATTTGGTTTAAAATAATGAAGCAACACTTTCTAATAGATCGATTGAAGTAAAAGAGCGCCAAAAGCAATTGTTTTTTCCTTCTGGTCTGTTCGTGTCTCCTCAACACGTCTGTGTTAAAGTCCTATAGTATTCACTTACACATGATCTCGAGTCCCAGAGAAGGACAACCAATTAGGTATATTACGAATTGAGGACATTGGAATAACAAGTATCGATAAATGGCGTAACACGTACCGGTAAGTAGATTTCAGTGACGTAGACATTATGCATGACGCACGAAAAAATACAATTGACAAAAGTGACACGGAAAAAATCGAATTCGCTTGAAAATTCCCAATACGAGTTTAAATCCTTTCTTCATAAAAGCGTTTCCTCAAATTATCCTGAGACCTTCTAAGCTCATAAAAAGTCTAATAGTTGTAGCATTAATGTGAAATAGAAGCTAAACAAATTACGCCAGCAAACAACGCTTACACTGGGTAATACTGATCTTGTCTGTTTACGGAAATTGTAGCGCTTTCGGCTAGTGATATTCAATCCAATGTTGCTTTAAGAAGTTCGCCAGAAGTACTAACAGCGTGAGACTGATGGAAAAGTTACTTTTTCAAAGACGTTTCTTGTTGCGTCGATTTCTCTTTAAAGCCAATCGCTCTATCATCAGTGAGTTTACATAAACAAATAAGTAGGACTATCACCCACTTTTCTTCATGCCCTAGGCCACGTCCAATCTGATACGCAGCGGATACTGTTTTACAGTCTCCTGAAAAGTGAACGCATTTTTCAATTAAGCATTAGCACTTTCCTACTATTTCTATCTGATTTTGAACCATATATAGATATCTATTCAGCATTCATTCTTTAACCAGCACCCCCTGTTTAGATTTCCAAATTCATGATGTATATTTACGGTTATTTCTGTTAGATTACAGAAAGGTATTAATTATTCGTGAAACCGTGCGAGTTTAGGCAACAAAAGCCGTGCCGAGCTACTCGTCTTTACAACAGTCGAACTCCTCCACTAACCGCTTTCAACAGACAACTTCTGGATTCACTGAAAATTATCTGAGTATTCGTAACTTCCTTAGATCTTTAAAATCCTTTTCGAAATAAATAATTTTTAAGGTAAAAAATATTCTTAGATCATGAAGTATAAAATATTGACCCTTTGACCCCATAGAGTGATTAGCGCCTAGTTTCTACATACAGTATCACTCCTGAATAAAACACTAAGGCGATTTGAATGAAGGAAATGATCATCAATTAAAAAAGCGCTGGATTCTTACACAAATTCTCCTTGTCAGCACCTGAGGGAATGTATAGAGAACAGTATGGAGAATATGCTTAATGATGTTAGAGTGTAAGGTTCAATCGATTAATCAGCCGTCATAGCGAGGATGAGTCAGTTTATCAGTAGGGGTTTCGATAGGGCAGGTCATCATATTTTGATCTACTGTACGTTGTTTGCCGGAACGTTCTGGGTCAGGCTTTTAAAATTGTAAGCAGAAACTGAATATCTGAGCCCTCGCCACATAAATCTTAAACCCTTCCTTCCTGGATGCCTTCATGGTTGCAATCCGCCACTTATCAATTGTTCTTGCTCAAATGATTGTGCTCGAGAAATTTTCCGCGAGAGAAAAGCATGTAACTCCAAGTGATCAAGATCAGTTAGCTCGGTAGAACTGCAAAGGACCAGCTTAATCTTTCCCTTCCGCTTAACCCGTCATATGGCAAATAACGATATTGAGTAACAAAGTCATCAGATAAAGGCCTTCCGTGATGTCCAAATTAATCAAGGTCAAATTAATTATTGGTTATAAGTAAAGCGCAAGTGAAATGTTACATAAGTCAGTCATTTATCATTACCTCTATTCTTGTCTCATAGGAGTTCCGACACCGATAACCTGCCTGAGCAATATCTTAGCTCTAGAAAACAAAAAGATATTCTACTTTGAATACACATTATTCGGCGCTCTTTGAAACCTAAATTTTATAAAATTTAAAGAACGATTCTAATTCCCCTCGATGACCCACAACTAACAACCTTGTTTCAAAAGGTAAGGTAATACAAAGAAATAATTGAAACTAGAAGATATGACCAAACTAAAAAAGCTGATAGACTTTAAGCAAGTTGAGGGTCTAATTCAATTGAAGCTGAAATTCATTTATCGTTCAATTTTCCTATAAATACTCAAATCCCTGGGAGCAGTTTTGACGGAAAATAGGTTGCCACTGGCAGCAACCCTTGTATATGTAATCGTTTTATCAGTATAAATATCCTTGAGGCAACTACAGTGAACCTTTGTTACTATTTTCTTAGCACTCAAAGGACGAAATTCATGCTGAATTTGCGAAGTGATGTATCGTCATTTCCCTTTGACAGTTCCCTGAACAACCATGATTTTCTCTTGTTGAGTCATATGCTTTTACCTCGTTGTAAGCATTAAGTCAAGCAAATGATTCTGATCAACGTTTGATACAGTTTTCTTCTTTCTATCTGCCGGGCGCATAACACAACCTGCAAAACGGCTGTTTTGCTGCAAATGAATAGCTGTGTCCACGCTATTCCGTAGAAAGTCGAGATTCACCATCCTAGGCTGTTGAGCGAAGTTCCCAAAGATAATTCAAAAAACAAACTTACAAACAATTAACTGAGAAACATACAAACTCGTTAATCGAATGATAAACCAACTATCGCAAAATATCGTGATTTTTCAAGAGGCGAGCAGATAATAAACAATTTGCCGAGGGCGCATGCTTACCCTTGGAAAAAAGCCGAAGAGAGCAAATTTTTAAGCCTAATGCGTTTAAAATTCAGTTTTTTTCGCTGATAAATTAGGAGCTAATTAACAAATAGATTCCAAGTTGCCGTGCGTCTGTTCAGTAATAGATCACAGATGACGTCAAAATGTGGTAAGAACAAAAAAGTGGCACACGAGACGCAGCCGAGTGTGTCACTGATGTTCTTACCACATTTTGACGTCCTCTGTGATCTATTACTGAACAGACGCACGGCAACTTGGAATCTATTTGTTTTATATAATAAAGAATTTTAAAAAGTTTTAATGATGACGTTATCTATACGTCTGTCCTCCAATAGATCATAAGTGAGAACCAATCAAAACGCGTGTATAACTGAGCTTATTATATAATAGGGGATAAAAGCAAGTCAGACGTTCTCTAGATAACACTTGCGCAATTATTTTAGTCCCGTCTGCTCACAAAACTGATTATGCACTAAATACATAAACTTATTACTTGTAGTCTTTGTGGCTATCCTAAAAAAGCATTTCTTAACTTTAAAGCTCATTTTCTCAGAACGCGTACTTGAGATCTTTGAGAAAAGATATCTTGAGATATATTTATCCAATTAATCTGAAATTTTCAGGGTTGATTTTTCTCATTGAGTTGAGTTAAATAAGCATAGAGATTCTGCTTATGTTGATTTGAAGTCAAGTTATTGTAATCGATGTAACCTCAAATATATCAGTCACTTTTGGAAGGGCACTGGGGAAAATGTTTCTATTATCTCAAAAAGTTCTATGCTCATTTAAGAGGGTGATGCTCTAGATTGATACTAATACAACATAATTCCATGTAATCTATAGCTAGATATCTTTTCTTAACTACAGCTTGGTAAGAATTTTGGGCTAGTGTCAGGTTACAAATCACTTCAAGTTAAAATCTTCTTCAAAATGTATCATAAGCTTTCTTGTGGTATATAGTTTTATACGAAGCAAGCTTTTGGAATTGCTATTACTTAAAAAAAGTAACTTTTTTTCATGTGAACCCCTGCCAGACTTATCACACTGATAATATCATGCGATTATTGCATCCTGCTTCATCTCGATAACAAAAATTATCCAAATAATCCACCTTCTATAAACGTTTTAGGAAATATGCCAAATTCTTCGTTTGGAATAACCGTAGATATTTTCGCATGCTGATTGGTTGGGAACCATCTTGTGCTTGAGTTGTTATGTAAGCTCTTTCGTACTAATTAATTCGATTAGGTCTGATATTAATAGCGGAATAACCTGCTGTACACGCACGGGATGTCCTTACAACCGAAAGTGAGTGCTTATTCGTCACGAACAAAAGAGCAAGTTGGTCTCCAAACAATTTTATTTACCGAATCATTGTAACCTTTCAGTAAAATTCTGAGGGTAAAGACGTCATGTGAGTACGGACCGCGGTTGGTGACTGTCAAA